ACCTAATCACACTTCGAAATTACGCCCTGTCAAAAAAGTGGCGCTTTAATTTTGCTCACGAGTGTAATTGTTCGTAAGCTTAAACAAATAGTTTGTAAGCTTACGAACAAATAGTTCGTAATGCAAACCGATTGATCGTAAGACCCTGTCTAGCCTTACAAACAATCGCTTTGCAATACGAACAATTTCTTTGCAATAGGAACAATTTCTTTGCAATACAAAGAACGAAAATTGTTCGTAACGTTGCAAAGTATTTAGTTCGTAAGCTTTTTTTACAGTGCAACAATGCATTTGGAGACATATGTTTTATGACATAAATGAATGCGACAGAGGCTGTATGCATCACTAGTTGGTGGTCATTAGAAACACTTACAATATAGCGGCACTCAGTACCACAGCAGTCTGAGGAGCAGATGGGAAAGCAGGCGTGTCATGAAAAATAACGAAAGCACTGTAAAAAGCTTGCGAAGAACTATTCTTTGCATTGCAAAGAAATTTCAAGCGTTGTAAAATACTTTGCATTGCGAACTAAATCCTTCGCATTGCGAACTAATTCTTCGCACCTTACGAAGAAAATCGTTCGTAACGCTCCAAAGAATTAGTTCGTAACCTTGCAAACCTTTTGTTCGCAACTTACGAAGAAAATAGTTTGCAATGCAAAGAAAATAGTTTGCAATGCAAAGAAAATAGTTTGCAATGCAAAGAAAATAGTTTGCAATGCAAAGAAAATAGTTTGCAATGCAAACTTCCTTACAATGCTTGAAAATTCTTTGCAAGAATTTTGCAGAGAGGGGTTAGCAATCAACAAACAATGATGCTTTCGTCGGTACCCATTTGCACAATAACGTGCTAAGCGACTGAAATATGGAACACGTTAAGTGTTGGCAAACATTTACTGTGCACAAAGTGCACTGACACCCCCTACCTCGTTTATGGCACCATACCGTCACCACTAAAGGCGAACTGCACCTGTGATTGTATTTCTTCTACGCACCGCGTTTTGTACACACTGTGTAAAAGAAACGGACAACGAACGGTAATTATTTGCCAGAGACTTTGTCCATTTCTAATTTCAATATTGGAAATTGCATTGCAAAAGGTGATTTTACGAGAAAAAAAATGTTACAAAATGCTCAGTAAAAAATTATTTACGGAATTATTTCTTAAGTGTCAATTTAAGAAACACTTCGTAACGAAGACAAATTTTTGGGTCATAAGTCATAAAATTTGACAAAATAGTTCTCTCTAGTTAGAGCTGTGGAGTTTACAAAGCAATTGTTTCGTATCATAATTTGTTAAAAACGAAGGTTTCGTCATAGAAAATTAACCGAGAAAATTTCGTGAAATCACAATGTTTTTTACAATTTGAGTTTTAAGTACGGACAGGCCGGATCCTAACTTTGTTGGAGCGGACTGAAGTACGTGTCATTTATGCCATTCATACTAGACGGAGCAACCACATGACATCACCAGAAAATTAAGTGCAGTTTTCTAGGACTCGCGCTCCGAACTATGGATCAAAATATTGTTGTCATGCGTCTCTCCGCCTTTCCCTCCCCGCGATGGAATAAAGCGTCGTCGCCTGTAAGATCCATCAAAATTCCGTCAAGTCTATTATGGGACGAGTTTTTGGCGGGGTGCCGATCGGTTGTGCAGTGAGTCAGCGAGGTGACTCGGGGAGGGTCAGATTCCTGTGCCGCTGATAGCGGCCGTGTTTGGGGTCATCCACAAATTACACAATCGCCCTCCTTGGGTGTTCGAACACTCTCATGAGAGACGTGCCGAAAACAGGAGGAGAAGCGACACCAGACGCGTCAACGTGTCCGGGACACATTTCAACTTATCAAATACGATAACCTTTTGTAAGGAAGATGGTGCCGCTGCGCCATGACCGCACAGAGGTGGACCACTACGCAAGCTAAGCAAGTTAAGACCAATGTAAAAATGTTCATCGCCAGCAAGCCGAGTTTGAGAGGTCTGATCTAATGATTCGTTTTATTCGGCGAATTACGGGAGCTTGGCGCCTGCAAGACTCAGGGTGGGCCACCCCGCAGTACACGTATGCGCTACAGGCAACATGTTGCCTACCCACCAGGCGCTAGGAATGCTTGGATTGACGGAACTTGATTTCGCTTCTTAACAACGTATGGCGGGCGTATTTTCAAGATGAACCCTTAGTTTTTCATTGAAAAAAGTCCTCCGTTACACTGCTGAGCGGCGTGGTCTAACTCCAGACGAAAAGACTACACACCTCATAAACAAAGTAAATAGAAAATATCAGCGGTGCGCAGTTGCTGCTCCTTCTATTTTTGACGTCAAAGGTCAGAGGTAAATCCCCAGTGCGCGCATGTTTTTCGACAGCACTACTGCACAAACAATGTAAGCCCGGTATTGCATTGTTATTTGCCACATGCATCTCCCTGGCGAGCGCGGCCGGGAGCGAGTGCCAAGGTGCAGTCGGCTGGCCATTTGGGCCCGGCCCGGGAGCCCGCCGGATCCGCCCCACTGTCACATCTCTCCTGATGCATCAGATGGGCCTGTCCACCGGCCAGAGCAGTCCCAGAATGGTGGGGCATGGCGAGGCGTGGCGGGGCGTGGCGGGGCGTGGCGGGGCGTGGCGGGGCAGGGCGTGGTGGGGCGTGGCGGGGCATGGTGGGGCGTGGCGTAGCCCCGTGCGCGTCACCCGACAGCAGGTGGGATTGCATTGCAGGGGGGACCCCTGACCCCAAGAGGGTCCCCCCTTGGGTCCTCCCGGTGCAGGCGGGTGGGGTGGGGTGGGGCGGGGAGGACCGTGATGTGGCGTGGGGGCCCCCCAAATATGTGTTCTGGAGGGGGGAGGGTGCCGGGCATATATAAACAGAAGGGGGCGGAGCAGACATCGTGCCATATCACCGTCAACCTCCACACAATGAACACCCTGGTGAGTGCAGTGAGTGAGCTAGTGAGTGAATTTTTTTTCGACCCGGAATCTTCTCTTCGAAGGACAAGTGTCTTCGCTCTCCGGCGCCGGATCATCACCAAGGATAATTTACGCCAAACTGTGAAAATAGTGCCCCCATTGGATTATTAGCAGTGATTTCGGAACTTTTCCAAACGAATCGCCTATTACGACCTTTTTACGAGGTCATCAAAAGTTTAATTTTCACTCTTCCAAGAGAGTGAATCTGTGTGCGAGAGAGAGCGCGAGAAGGGGGGAAAGAGAGTGGGAGAGAGAGAGAGAGAGTGGGAGAGAGAGAGAGTGGGAGAGAGAGGGAGAGGGAGAGGGAGAGGGAGAGGGAGAGAGAGAGAGTTGTCACCAAGGCCGCACGCGCATCCCTTTTGCAGGTCGCCGTCGTTGTCGCCTTCGTGGCTGTGGCCGCCGTAGCCCAGGCCCGGCCCCAGGAGCCAACTCCCAAGCCCATTGCTATCCTCAAGCTCGCCAGCGACGTGCAGCCCGACGGATCCTTCACATACGAGTGAGTTCAGCAACACCAAGGCTTACACTTAATGGAAAGCAAAAACCGAAACCGTCCTCAATTTGATCTTCCTTGATCACAGGTACGAGACCGAGAACGGCATCAAGGCTGACGCTCGTGGCAACCTGGTCAACGCCGGCACGGAGAACGAGGCCCTGAACCAGCAGGGCTCCTTCTCCTTCGTCGCCGACGACGGCCAGACCTACTCCATCACCTGGGTCGCTGACGAGAACGGCTTCCAGCCCCAGGGCGCCCACATCCCCGTGCCACCCCCAATCCCAGAAGAGATCCTCAAGGCCCTTGAGTACAACGCAGCCCACCCCGAGGAGGACGAGGAGGCTACCAAGAGGAGAAACTGAAAAGACTGACCACTGACCTTGCGCTCAAACTGTTATGTAATCGGCTAAATAAACTGTGATCAAACCAACATTGACTCTCCATACTGTTTTTTGTCATCCCCCCAAGAGAAACTTATAACTTTTGCATTTAATGCACTGAAAAAAGAAACTTATAGTTTTTGCATTTAATGCACTGAATTAAGGAACGTTACATTGGGCGTCGTACAACTTACAGTTTGTGAAAGCACTTGCGATTCTTTTTAAACCATAACATTGTGTTGTTTTTATGAGATCCGACGATATCATATGATAGTCTCTGTTAAAATGTACACATTTGTACACTTTTCCTAAACGTTTAAAATGTGAATGTTTTTTGCTCGGTGCGTCCATACGGTGCAATCCTGTCCCACACACCACGCAAAGATATAAATTGACGAGTGAAAGACAAATTTATAATAGCTTTATAATAGAAAAGCAAAACTTAAAGTAAACACTAAAAATGTAGCTGACCGCTTCGATCTGGCCGGAAAAGTCATTGACGATTGCCTAAGTTGACGTGGCATGCCTTCTGTTGCACTACGCTGGTAAAACAAAAATGTAGAAAGCTACGGGTGAATCAGAGAAGACGCATGTGCGGGCGGGTTTGCCTACCCAGGGGGCTATGGCGCCTTACGGGCAGAGCGGGTAGGCAAACCCGCCTGCACCTGCGTCTTCTCTGAATCACCCGGTTCATGCACACCCAATGATGTGCAGTTTCAAGAGTGCAAAAACTAAAGACTTCATGATGTCGAACGGAACAAGGCGTCGGTGTGGGTGTGACTAGGTGAGCAAATATAAGACATTTCGTTGACGGTTTCGATAGCTAACATGAATATATTATATAATTAATTAATGCACATATAATATACATATAATACAATATAATATACATATAATTTTGGCACACTACGAGGTGTGCCGTTCTGTTAAACACCATGTAATGTACAAAATCATGAGTTGCACACTAAGGTGTCCAATATTTGCACATTTGTTTTACAAGTGTGAAATGTTTGAGGTTGCAGCGTAGTCCGCGTATCCTTAAGAGTTCTCATTTTTTTCAATGTATACTTACTTTAGAGCATCGTTAAATTACATAAGACAAAAGGGAAGCACTAAAAAATTCGCCTCCTCGAGGTGTGTGTTGCCGGGTCGAAAGATGTCACCAAAGGAAGCGAGTATAACAACGCGTTTAATTGTCACTCAGAAGACGGCCCGGTTCCGTCATCAACACATTTCAAGACTCGCCTTTTCCTCCAAATTTACGTCCAAGATGAAACCGGTCTTTTCCCCACGCCTGCTCGCGACAACGAACCAAAATAGAATGTCACGCGCTCCCGGGGTGAAGAGAAAGGCCTCACAAGCAAGTGCGTCAGGGAAAAGGAAGTTAACAAAAGCACGCGGTAAACAGCCGTCGCTGCGGTCGAACTGACCGGGGTCAGAGAGGTGAAGTCACGGGAAAGACACCGGGAGGAATTCTACGGCGATACGTTCTTTTGACTTTAGTGAGGCTGCGAGGGGCATACGGACGCGGTGCGGTCGGGCGGTCAGGCGGCCGCCACAAGTGAGCTAGTTTTGCCGCACATTAAGCCGCAGAACGGAATAACCCGCGTCCTTCTCAACAGAAAAGCAGAAGTCTGGGCTCTCCCTGTCCTCGCGGAGCACGACCATCGGGCCCGCACAAAATGATTCCCTGCTGACCTTAGAAACCGGCAAGGGGTCCTATATATATCGTGTGTCCCCTACGGATGGATTAGCCCCACTAAACACCTTGCTGGGAATTGCTTGAACTCCCGGGCATACGTCTCGAATTTTGTGATTGCGACGCGTCGTGGAAAAACTGGTATCCCACATGCCACAGATTACAACATTTGATAAATACAAAATTAAGGCAAGGCATAGACATAAACCAAAGAAACAATTTGGCATGCGTGAGTGAGGACTGTTCCTACGCCTAAAGCGAGTATTCGACAAAACAATCGTAACAATGAGAATACTGCATTAAAAAGTGTTCAACTGAATCACACACTTCGTAGTGTAAAAAATTAACATTAGGAAACTGAACACGTAAGAAAAGTCTAATATTTGCACTCCAATTGACGTAGTTCAGTTCAACACCATGAAGTGTGTAGGCTCCATACACTTGGGACCGAACATCATTTAGTAAGCAACTTTCTTTCTTTGTTTTTCGAGTGAAAATCTCGCGCTCTTTACGGAACAGAAACATTTTTGTAATATTTTTTTAATTTATTTTTTTGCCTCTTTTTTGCGGTATACATATAAATTACTTTGGTTCCCAGTAAATTTCTGCGTGAATCGTCATTAAAATCGGGCAGTGTGAAGTATTAGTCATGTATAAAATGCATTCTTTTTTCTGGAATACAGTCACAAACGAGTATATGATAGACCAATATCATACCATAAACTGAAAACACAAGTGTGCAACTGTTACGCACATGCGCTGGTAGTGTTCAACCCTGTGCAGGGCAGCGGCTGCCCTTCTGCCCGACTGCCCGGCAGCCGCTTGGGTGTTGGACAAGAAATTTGAACATTTTAAAGTGTCCAAAGCCAAAGCTTCATGCCAACCCTAAATGTGAACGCTAGTAAGTGTTGAAATTTACTCTTTAACACATTTTAGTATTCGAATGTCCAGTCAAACACTTAAGACGTGGGACGTATTGTGCAGGCAAGTTATTGCGCACTTTATTTGCCAGTGTACGGGAGTGAGAAATTCCTTTGCTTATGCGTTCTCCTTGCACCTGAATCGAAAGCCTATAAAACATTGTAGCCTGGACTGTGGATTGCGTCCAGTGGGCGCCCGCAGTGCGAAAGTCCTCGCGGAGCCCGCACCACGCTACACGGGGACAAATGTGGACAAATGACACGACGCGCCGCCACCCACGGCATGGCGCCCGCTTCAAAAGGGGCGGGTCGGGGGCTTTATGTAGTTTACACGAGGTCAAAAGGTCGCAAGGTCGGGCGAGGAGTAAGTGTGGTGCTGCCGGCCGGGTCGGGTCGGGTCCCGCGGGCCGCCTTTGAGCCGGGCGTTGCCGGCCACGGTTTCGGGGGTGCTCTGGTGGGAGATGAGTAGTATAAAACGATCCACTCTTTAGTCGGCACCCACAGTTCACCTCTGTGGTCCAGCAGCCTAAGCTCATTCTCCTACAGCCATGAAGTGTGTGGTGAGTAGTGCCCCAGTGCTACCGTGTCCAGCGCCCACCAATGGATTAACGTCGAGTGAAACAAGTGATCAACGGGTATTAGGCGTGAAGTGATTATATTTGATGGAAGATAAACACAAATTAGAGACTTCCCCTTAAAGTGTGTCGAATAAGGTTTTAAGTGCATGTGCCACGTGTCACAATAGTTAATGAAGATTAGATTATGAGGTAGTATGGTAACCAACCACTTTAGTTTTGGTCTACGCTTTGTTTTCGCAAGGCAGCAGGAGGCGGCACGCAAACAGATGCAAATGTCGTTCGCAGGTTGCATGGCAATAGCAATAACCGCACGTCCTTTTGCAGGTGCTCGCCCTTTCCGCCCTCGTGGCCCTGTCTGCCGCACAGCTGCAGAAGGAGCCCATCGCGATCGTCAAGCTCAGCTCGGACGTGCAGCCCGACGGCGGCTTCGTGTACGAGTAAGTGTCGACCGCAGGACGGTAGGCCGGCTTATCCTAGGTCGAGCTGCTGGGGCCGCACGAGCCGCTACATTTCTCATACCGGACACAAACTTTGTTATGTTAAGAAGGTAGCGGTGCGGTACGTGAAAAGCAATTTCTAAGCGGAAACAGTTTGAGATCGATCATGTAGAGACTTGCAGCTGTCGCCGTTTCCTGCGCCTCTCTCTCCCTCTCTTTTTTTACAGAGGATGCGAGCTCTCCGCACATTCTACTTTCCTCGGCTAACCCGACCCACCCTCCTCCCTCCTCCGCAGGTACGAGACCGCCAACGGCATCAAGGCCGAGGCTCGGGGACAGCCCTCCGCCGCCGGCCCCGAGGGCCCCGCCATCGCCGTCCAGGGTCAGTTCGCCTACGTGGCCGACGACGGCCAGACTTACTCCGTGCAGTACGTCGCCGACGAGAACGGATACCAGCCGCAGGGAGCTCACCTGCCCACCCCACCCCCAATCCCCGAGGCCATCCTCCGCTCCCTCGAGTTCAACGCCAAGAACTACAAGGGCGAGGACGAGCAGCCCCAGCAGCAGCAGCAGCAGGCCTTCAAGCCCGCCAGGGCCTTTGGCCGTCGTCGCTGAGCGAACTCACGCGCACCCGCCGACTGATACCCTGGGGTGCAATGTTACCAATAAACTAAGTACCTGACTCTTTTAGTAAAACAGATAGTCTGATATGCTTCCACCCTATAACCCCACGGTTAGCATTGTTGCTTGATCATCATAGCAAAAATGACCCCAAGAAACTACAATGAAACTCATCATGACAGTTGTGGGTGGATAACTCAACAACAACAAAAGTTGACGGCTGATTGAAATTATCAGAATAATGACAGTTTATAACAATTATAGCCGTACCTGATTGCTTGCTGGAGGCTGGTCTCCAGTGATCTCCTCCGTGGAAAGAACAGGCGTGACATCTGTTACGAAGTACAGCCATTAATTATCACCAAAAAAATCAACAATTATCAGAAACTCAACAGCCTAATAGCAAAATGGAACCTCTGAAACGATTGTGTAAGACTATATCAACTTCCATAGAACCGTTAATTCATTGATTCATTCATTGAACACATGCAATAAACTGCTAGTTGGCTAATATGAGAGAACATTAAGAATTTTCTTCGAATAAAATCGATCAGAGAATTAAAAGAGGCTCTTAACAAGAATTAAAAGTTATCGGGAACCATTTTTTGAAAAAGGACAGATCACAAATTATTCACCTTATCAGAATTTAATCAAAATCAACTAGGTTATGTTACCAAAGTGAAACAAGACTGGGTAAATATAATCGCTTTGAAAGGCGTTCTGTTACCTTTAAACCAACTTGGTTTGATGTTAAAACTTTCTTTCGGCATAGAAATCGTTGAAAATGCCACAAATTTAGAAGGAACAACTAAAATCTAGAATTCTAGACGAAACTTGAGAAAACAACAACTAAACCAGCTAAACGTCGTATCATAAGCGTCACGTGACTGCTCTCCAGTACTACCAAAACAAGATTAGTGGTCAAACAAATTTCCCTTATCAATTACAATAATAATGAGCACAAGCGTTGTGCGTGTCCCTTACTTTAAAAGTATTTTTGTCACTTGTCGCGTGATCGGGCAGTCGGTCGGCCAGTCGCTCGCTCGGTCGGCCGATTCTTATTTTGATAAACCCTAAGTAGGAAATAGCTTTTTTACTTCCGACCACACTGGCGCTGGGTTACTCGGTTGTTCTGAGCATTGTGGAAGCTGTTCCCGCGATCACAGAAGTCGCCAACGACTGATGCGGTTTGAGGGGCGTACTCCCCCATTTTGGGGGAGGAAGTGGGGAATGGGGAGAGGAGTGGGGGGGGGGGCGTTTACGTGTGTCGTTCGAATGAGGTTGCCCGTAGTCGTGTCAGTTTCTAGCTACAACTGTGTGGCTACAAACAGGGTCATTTATTTTGTGCACCCTGAATGAATACGACTAAGCCACATGACTAGAAAGAAGCAATCACGCCATTCCCTACAGCACGAATCGTCCTAAGAATGCTCACTGCACGTTCAGGGAACCTAACTAACGTTCTGGGAATGTTCTTAGGTTTGGTGCTACGAGGGTTGTCATGGTCATTTGGACGGTGGAACCAAAGGAGGAAATTAATGTTGTGTTTTTTTTATAATATTAACAATACTTTATTTACAAGACATATTCTGACTAGAGGAGTGGAGTCGCAGGTCACGTTTATCTCCTGGCCTTGACCTCGTTCTCCTCGGGGTGCGCGGCGTTGTACTCGATGGACCTGAGGATGGCCTCTGGGATGGGCGGCGGGGTCGGCAGGTGAGCGCCCTGGGGCTGGAAGCCGTTCTCGTCGGCCACATAGGTGACGGTGTAGGTGACGCCGTCGTCACCGACGAAGGAGTACGAGCCTTGCACCGACAATGCCTCGTTCTCGGAGCCGGCGTTGTTGAGGGCGCCGCGGGCGTCGGCCTTGATGCCATTGGCCGTCTCGTATCTACAGGGTGGAAAACACAAGGAGAGGGTTGCAGAATTGTTGGCTGAGCGATTAGCGAAGCCCATTACTCCACTGACCCGAAAAGTTTCATTCTGTTTGTGTGTGTGTTTGTGTGTTTGTTTGTCTGTCTGTCCGCACGATAACTCGAGAAAGAATTGAGATAGCGACCTGGGATTTTCAGGGTCGTTTAGGAACAAAAAAAGACAGATCGAGTTCGAAGATGAGCACTCTGGCTCAAAAATTGACTCTTTAAAAAATCAATAACCGCAGGTAACAAAATTATAGTTTTTTTAATTTTTTTTATGGTCTCCTAATGGGTAACTCCGTCCGTTTTGCTTTATCTCGTACCGTTTCGACGCTATGGCGCATTTCTTGACAAAAATGAGGTGAAAATGATCAAATGGTCGATTAAATCGTTAAAAAGACTTCCTTTCGAAAAATTGTATATACACTCCTATTACCCCGTCTCGGGTGTCAGCGCCGCAGGCCTAGCTATGTGTGCGCCAGGCGCGTCGCAGCGTAACAGTGTTTCGTGAGATATCGCGAAGCCTGTTACGCGAGACGTGGTCTGGCGTACATATAGCTAGTGTACATTAAAGGTGAGACCATGGCTTTGTCCCGGTTCCACAAAATAGAGTGAAAACAAGGCACTCACTCATATGTGAAAGAGCCGTCGGGGTTGACGTCGCTGTTGAGCTTCACGATGGCGATGGGCTCCGGAGTGGAGGGCTGCTGCTGACCACAGGAGAGGGAGGCGACGGCGCACAGGCCGAAGACGGTTATCTGAACAAGAAGTTCAAAGCCGGTCACCACAAGAAGAGTTCGAGGATGCGTCCGGACGCAAAATTACTCCCTTTGAAATGATGTTTGCCGAAAAAGAAAAACTAAGGTCCTTAAAGTAGCAGAGAAACACGAGAGAACTGTGACATAGCAGAGCGATTTTCTTTTCTCACAGAAAAGAGCGTTTGGGATCTCAACGCTCTCCCAAACTCTTGAACTTCTATCCACTCTATCTCAATGTCCATTGATGGTAACGCACAGCACTGATCACATTTTCACTGGAACACTCTGGTCGTTCGACGAGGCTGAGGTGTAATCCTTTGAGGTAATCCTTTGGCGCTGGCGCTGCTGGGAGCGGGAGGGTCACGAGCTACAAACACAACCCCGCACACTCACCACAAACTTGTTCATGGTGCTGGTTGGGCTGGCTGTGCCGGGCTGACTGAGCTATGCGAATGCTAATGACACCTCCTCTGCAGATAGGTCTTATATATCCACACTCCCTCCCCGGCGGCATCTCCCTCCAAAGTCAAAGGCATCCCTGCCACAATGCGGTGGCTGGGCGGGCGGGGCGAGATGCGTATGAGTTCATCACCCCAAACGTCATGTCGGTCCACGCCGGTCGGTCCTCGCTGAAATCAAACCAATCAAACCCGCGTAACTTGGGGTGCCCGTCTGCAGAGATAGCGCATCGCTGCATCCGAATAACGCGGGTGCTCCCCGCGCCCGAGGAGGCCGTGTCGCAGCTCGACGCGGCCCCCGCGGGACCGGCACGCCGCATGTCACCTGATCCCACGACAAACGAAGGGGGCGTTTAACGAGGTACTCGTCAGTGCACTGTTGGAGCAGGACATTTCCGAGAAACGTTTCAACTTTTTGCGTGGGCAGTGAAATGCAGCCACATTATGGGCATCGACGCCGCGCTGAAACGTGCTAAAAGCAAATACGTCGTGATATCGTTTCAAGCTTGTCACTTTGAGTCACGAAAATCGCCTCAGAGGCGGCAGAACACCCCGATGACTCGGTCGATACGAATCGTAAAAAAAAAGAGGGGGAGGAGGGCGGGCTATAAAGCCGTTTCACCTCACCGAAATGTATGGCTCTCGTGTTGCAGGTACGATGTTAGCGGCCTCCTCAACGAGCGGTTTATGGTTCAGATGCCCGGCCAATTAGGCGGCTTCTGATTCGCCAATGTCAAATGAAATGCACGTAGCCGGGCGGGGCGGGGGTGGGGCGACCATAGCGCGTGGACCGCAGACGAGACGGGGTCATCAAGGAGATCCTTTCTTTCTCGAGGAGGAAACCTTGTCGTCGAGCGTCACCAGAGACGCGCCGCGCTCGGCTGGCGTGATTGGAAGGGGACAAAAGGAGTGTATTAAGATTACAGCCCATTAGACTCTACGGAAGTGCTAGAAGTCGGGACGTATTTCTGTGTTGTTGTTTTTTCTTAACAATTATGAAAATACACAACCCCAGCTACCCTTGAAAATCTCGCCTATTTTCGCGTGGTCGCGGGTCCGTGCGTTGCGCGTTGCGCCACTCGGGGGGCCCGGGCCACGGGCAGGGCAGCACCTCTCACACAAACGTGCATGCGCATCACGTTTGAACGGTGCACGCCACGCACCGAGAGAGAACCTCCAATAATTAATGTATTCATTAGCCCCTCTCCTAACCGGCCGGGGCGGGTCCGGTCCGGGCCGCGGGTGTCGCTGCTGCCGGGCGGGACCGGCCGGGGCCAAGGGCGGGCAGCGCGAGCCATCGAACGCCACCTGCCACGCGGCTCGAGACATCGAAACCCCGCGAGGAGAGAAAGAAGGCGGCACTTGTGGGACCGTCCCCATTGCCACGCCTACCCCAGAGAGAAATGAGTTTTCTGAAACGTCGGTAATCAAAATAGACGAATAAACCTCATTTTGTCCCCAAAATCTACATCTTTTCGATATTCGACTTTGAATCCACATTGCCATTTCTCACTCGGAGGCGGGGGGCGCGCGGCGGAACCTTTGGTGTCTATTTAGTCACACTGAGAAAAATGTTTAGATGCTGGCACTGAAGTTCATTTGATCGATCCGACCCGTTAGCAGTCTACGAAAGGTTTGGTTCCAAGCAACAAACATTTTTAAGTAAATGTCCAAACGGTTTCTTCCTCGACACGAAACGTGTTTGAGTGGTGCATCCCAAAAATTTCAATGAGGCAACCGAACTCCCTCCAATCGTCACAACAGAGAGGGTTTG